CTCTTAAAAAGACTCTTGAAGCAATCAGACAGTCTAAAACCAAATTGCAACTGAATAGTTGTAGCTTTCTCAGAGTCTTAATATTTGGATCTTTAAAATATAAACTTCATAAAGGTTAGGCAATTTGTCAATTTTCCACTATTACTCTAATTTGATCATAGCAGAAAAAAATAGTGAATGGACCCAAACTTTTTTCACTGCTATGTTGTACATTCTTACTGTAAGCAAAGCAAAGCAAGCAAGCAATATTGTTAATATGTATTAATAGAATAAATTTTTTATTGTTTTTGCTGAAAATCTGTTTTTTTGTTTTTGTTAAGGTAGCTGTACACTTACAGGTGCTGGTCATAAAATTAGAATATCATGAAAAAGTAGATTGATTTCAGTAATTCCATTTAAAAAGTGAAACTTGTATATTATATTCATACATTACATACAAACTCATATATTTCAGGTGTTTATTTTGTTTAATTTTGATGATTACAAATGACAACAAATGAAAATCTCAAATTCATCATATCAGAAAATTAGAATATTACTGAAGACCAATAAAAACAAAGGATTTATAGAAATGTTGGCCAACTGAAAAGTATGAACATGAAAAGTATGAGCATGTACAGCACTCAGTATTTAGTTGGGCCTCCTTTGGCCTGTATTACTGCAGCAATGCGGCGTGGCATGGAGTCGATCAGTCTGTGGCACTGCTCAGGTGTTATGATAGCCCAGGTTGCTCTAATAGTGGCTTTTAGCTCTTCTGAATTGTTGGGTCTGGTGTATTGCATCTTCTTCTTCACAATACCCCATAGATTTTCTATGGGGTTAAGGTCAGGAGAGTTTGCTGGCCAATTAAGAACAGGGATACCATGGTCCTTCAACCAGGTACTGGTAGCTTTGGCACTGTGTGCAGGTGCCAAGTCCTGTTGGAAAATGAAATCTGCATCTCCAAAAAGTTGGTCAGCTGCAGGAAGCATGAAGTGCTCTAAAACTTCCTGGTATGTGGCTGCGTTGACCCTGGACCTCAGAAAACACAATGGACCAACACCAGCAGATGACATGGCACCCCAAACCATCACTGACTGTGGAAACTTTACACTGGACTTCAAGCAACGTGGATGAAGTGCCTCTCTTCTTTTCCTCCAGACTCTGGGACCTTGATTTCCAAAGGAAATGCAAAATTTACTTTCATCAGAGAACATGACTTTGGACCACTCACCAGCAGTCCAGTCCTGTTTCTCTTTAGACGCTTCTGACGCTGTCTGTGGTTCAAGAGTGGCTTGACACAAGGAATGCGACAGCAGAAACCCATGTCTTTCATACGTCTGTGTGTGGTGGTTCTTGAAGCACTCACTCCAGCTGCAGTCCACTCTTTGTGAATCTCCCCCACATTTTTGAAGGGGTTTTGTTTCACAATCCTCTCCAGGGTGCGGTTATCTCTCTTGCTTGTACACTTTTTTCGACCACATCTTTTCCTTCCCTTCGCCTCTCTATTAATGTGCTTGGACACTGAGCTCTGTGAACAGCCAGCCTCTTTAGCGATGACCTTTTGTGTCTTGCCCTCCTTGTGCAAGGTGTCGATGGTCGTCTTTTGGACAACTGTCAAGTCAGCAGTCTTCCCCATGATTGTGTAGCCTATAGAACTAGACTGAAAGACCATTTAAAGGCTTTTGCAGGTGGTTTGAGTTAATTAGCTGATTAGAGTGTGGCACCAGGGGCCATCAATTTTGAACCTTTTCACAATATTCTAATTTTCTGATATGATGAATTTGAGATTTTCATTTGTTGTCATTTGTAATCATCAAAATTAAACAAAATAAACATCTGAAATATATGAGTTTGTATGTAATGTATGAATATAATATACAAGTTTCACTTTTTAAATGGAATTACTGAAATCAATCTACTTTTTCATGATATTCTAATTTTATGACCAGCACCTGTATTAGATTATGTAGGCAAATGTCAGATGAATAATTATTTCACCAGGTAAGATGTGCTGTGAAAAGATCTTTCTCTCTTTGCCCCAACTACTTGCTGAATCACTGGTTCTATAGAGAAGCAGAAATGTGTCATACACAGTGCCCACTAACAAGGCCTTAACAAGCAACCCACTCACCTCGGTTTCTGCTGTGACAACCAACACTCTCCCTCTTTTTTCCTATTTCAGATGACACTCTGTCATGATAAAGTCACATGGTGTGTTATAATCAGCTGCAGACTAAGTTGAAAGGGTCACAGCTGTTCACTGCTAGGTCACAAGTTTAAAGCCTATCATAGTTAAACACAGGGTCCTTAATTATCCATGTCCAATTACATTCCACTGCTGTTACAATGTGAAGAATATAACCAGCATCAAACTATTTACATATACTTGTAATATGTTTTTAGGTAACAAAAAATGTTATAAAAAAATAATCAAATAGAAATTTGAAATGTTGTAAGGTCCCTGTCTATCTATATAGATATCAGTCCCTGGGATGTTTATATTTTGCTCCTCGTTCTTTCAATCAAGGTTTTTCATGGCATTATTATGTGCATCACTTTTTCGGTCAGATAAATGTCTTGAATAACAGATTAAAAAGCCACCCTTTTTTTGTTATTTTAATTTTGTAAGACACTGTAAGGATCATGTTCCAAGACATAGGCTCAATCCAACCTACTGTTTCTAGCTTTTATTCCTTCACGATTCACAGGGATAACGGAAATAATTCAAAGAAAGGTAGGAAATGAGCTTTGGTGAATCAAAAACGTCCTCAGCCTTCACAAACATCACGAACAGTTATCTGGAAGAGATCTACAAAAAGCAAAAGTTGCACAGTTGTAACAAACAGTTGATTCTCTGTTTAATAAAACCCAGAAAATATGAAGGTGTGTTGTGGCTCACTAGCTCAAGTGGTAAGTCAGGACAGGTGACACTTGGAATCCTGTGGTTGTGAGTTTAAGCCCCACTCCCACAGACAGCCACTCTGGGTCCTTGAGCGCTCCCAGGGCTCTGAAATTTGGCAGCCCACTGCTCCCCAAGGGGATGGGTTAAATGTAGAGAGTTCCTTACGTTGCTTGTGACACTGGAAAGTGTACATTAGCATGTGTCCCACAGAATACACCGAAAAAATGAATGCTTTAATAAAATGTTAAAGTGGGCTGTGCCTATATATTCTGTCAAGCAACGAAATGTAATGGCTAATTGGCACCATGCTGTATTTTTTTTTCCCAGCTCCTTCCTAACTGTTAGGAGTGCTCAAATAGAACTTAATACGGCCACAGTGGATGAACTTCCTCTGTGGCTTAAGTGTCTTTATTGATTTTAGGTATTCAGATTTGGCCTTTAAATCATTTGTAGTGGCAGCACAACAAGGATTTTATCCAGATGCAAATTTATACACTAGATTTTTATGTGATTCATATCTTATGCAAAAGAAAGTAAAAGGCTTGCTGTGCTACAGATAGAGAGAAGAATATGGAACCTACATCTGGAACCCCTTCTCTCAAGGTCTCGACAGGGGCGCCAGCACCTGTACACAGAAAATGATGCATCCTGTAAGTTAAAATGTGAATGGAAGCTTTATGCTACTATCTTTTCTATGTTTCTATGTTCATTGTTAAACATATGGCTTGAAGTGAGATGCCGTCTTTCTTTTTTGCAAGGAACAACCAAAAGTGAACTGGGGACATGTTTTTTCTTTTTTTAATCTCATGGAACCTATCATTCGGCAGGAGGGGCTATTTTTCTAAATAATTTTGATAGTAAAGTTTTTGTCCATTTTTGGAACGTTTATTTGAAGGAATTATTTTATCCCATTGTGCAGCTTAATTTTACAACATATACAGAATATGTCTATAATTAAAAAAACAGATTTAAGATCAATGAAGCAGGTCTGCAAATGGCACCAAATGTGGAGGATTTACTAAGCCTTAATCCTCCAAAATTACTGTCCAAAATATATAGGTGTTTATCGAAAATAACTGAGTCTATTCCTATAGCTGAGTCACTTCCCACTGGAAAATAGGAAACTGATTTATCAGTTAGGCTTGATCAAAATGTTTGGTCTAAAATCTATCAGAGAACCTTTAACATGAACAGAAATCCACCCCCCTCATGATTGTCCCTCTTGCGTTGTGGTGTGGAATAACATAGCGCAGACCACACTTCAAAATTGGGCATAAACCAAAAATATTTGTATCATACCTGCAACAAGCGCACTGCGACACACAGTTGCAAGATTATAACCAGCCTTTCTTCTGAGAGGAAGAAGAAGAAGTATGCTTGTTTGAACATGCCCAATGAGCAATTTGCCCACAACGCCAAACTGAATTTCAAACATGTTTAATTTTCTCCCAATCTCACGATTCCTGATTGGAAGGTTGTCCTGAGTGGCTGATCGCCCCTCGTTACCCCATGTACACTACACGATGCATGACAGACAGTTAGGCTAAAAGCCGGACCAATCAAAAAATTCTTGCACGACTGGAAAATCGTCCCAAAAAGGGCAAAAAATCGTACAGTGTATTCCAGGGTTGAGTTTAAATGTGTTACATTTCTTTTCACTTCCTGTTTTTGTCATTCATTAATGTCATTCACCTGGAGTTTGTGATCCTCATTAGTTTGTTGGCCTAGTTATTTCTCATTCATGCAGCTTCCCTATGGCAGTTAGTCTTTGTACTTTGAGTCAAGCGGTCAAGCCTTTTTGAATTTGAACTTAGCTTTCTGGTTATTTTTTTATAATGCTTGTTTTTGGACCTTTTCCTTCCTCTGTTTTTGTTAAACCTGCTTCCATTGGATGTTTGGTGTTTGACCTCAGTGTATTAAAAGAACCTTAAACTCGATTCTACTGTCAGAGTCCTCTATTCCCGAGCCGTACGACAATATAATATGTAATTCATCTAAACAATGTTTTTCACCAAGTTACTAAATTCAGTAAAGTTACTATAACTCCTTAACTTATTAATATTCTTCTTAATTAAATGGGACATTTTATGTCAATACACAATAATGGACAAACATGTTTTTTACATTACACTATTTATTTCTAACATTCAACATATCCTGCTTACATATACTTCGTATGTAAATAAATTGTTACTGCACACTTACTGACAGTACAACATAATGAAATATAAAATTAGGAACAGAAGCAAACAAACCAGGAGAAGATATTTCACCAAACCATGACCCCATGCACCACTTCAACACTAAATAAAAAGAAAAAAACATTTGGCTGTTCAACTGGTTTGAAGTACATCTTGCAAGTACAGTTTTACTTTTTCAAAACAGGTACCAAGACTATGTAAAAATAAACAGTAACAGTGTTATCTGTATAAACGCAGGAATTGCACAGACTTAAAATGTCTGCATATACCTGTTTTCTAAGGAAACATCATGAAAAAACAAAACATCCATCTTGGCGATCATTCTACATCCAACATAAGAAATTTTGCATCTCTCATTTCCATAGCTGTCATTAAAAGCCTGCACCTTTTTTTATTAAAATATTTTTTTTAACAACACTCAGCAGCACTCATAATGTGCTTCTCAATGAGCAGTGTCTTTTTTTTTTTGCTGAAGGCTACGGAGAAGGAGGCGCTTTTAGGGAATTACAAGATCCTCCTTGGCTACTACTTGTAGTCCCCTGGTACTGTGCAAAGAGAAGAACAAGAGAACAAAAGCAAAATAATTAATAACTATGAACATAAGACTCGCAATCATAGAGAGCAGATGTAAATTGAGATAAAGTATGTATTTACATTTTTAATAAGCTATCTGCAAAGACAGTTGTCTGCATTTAAAAGGATGAAAGCTTTTTGAGACAAAATGCTTATCTGGGATGTGGATGAATAAACATGCACCTGTGGGTGGTACAAATAGCAACTTTTACTGCTTTGTGAATAAGGGAAAGTATGATTTGTAAAAAGAAAAAAAACTTGTTTTAAAATTGCCCTGATGTATGTGTACTCTCAATACAGATTCAGAGCAGTTATAGTTATTTTTTTACTCTATGCCCACTTTAGTATTAAGATAAATACCTTCTTCACACAAATGTAACAGGCTGCAGAACAACTTCAAGCCATCAATTTCCCACTATCAAGCTTCAACATCAGGTAGTTTTATTGATTCTTTAAGGTTTTATTTTTTTTCTTTCCACTTTGTTCATGTATATGTCTTTTTTTTTTTTTTATCCAAACGCTGTCAAGTTTTATAGACACAGTTTACTAAAGTTAATTTGTTTTTTAAAGAACTCAAGTTATGCTTGTCAAGTTTGTCATGACTTTGGTTCTGTTTAAGTTCTCTTTTAGAGTTTTCATTGGTTTCATTTCCATTAGTAGTAGTTGGTTTTGGTTGTATTTGAGTTCTTTTGTATTTCTTGTTTACCCTGTTGCCCCCTTGTGTCAGTCTCCCTCTCTTAGCTCCCCTCTACATGCTTGTGTCCACACCTGTTCCTCATCTGCTGATTAGCCCAGTCTTTGTTCATTCTCCCGTTTATACTCCTCTTCAGTTACTGTTTGCTGGTTTCTTGTCATTTCCTTGCTCCTCATGTGTGTTTTCCCTGACTGTTTTTTGTTATTTTTGGATTTTTGCTTCAGTAGCCACCTTTTGTTCTTTGAATTTGCAAGAAACCACTTTAGCTTCCGTCTCTGCATTTAGGTCCTCTAAAAAAAACCACACAACCCTACAGAGTTTTACTAACTTTAAGATCAAGACAAAAACTAGTCAAGACAGTAAGAAGTCTTAAGTGCTTAAAGCATTAAAGGTTTCCCTTAATATATCTGATGTTTTTCCTTGATGAAACAGATTCTTTTTCATTTGTTCTGTAGTTTACATATATAGTTTACTTATTCAAGTCATTCAGTTTTTTTAAACGATTTCTGACAGTTTATATTAATGTAATATCTTCTGCTAAATCGAATAAAACATATTTGTGTTGCAGTGATATAAGCTGCAGTCTTTTTAAGACTAATTTTAACAACATCTTACTGTGTCAGTCAGAGCTGACAAACATTGGTTGCCTTGTCTGGGGGAAAAATATGATTTATTTTTCATTAATCAGGCACAGCTTTTCCTTTAGGAATATCTGAAGTGTATTTTTGAAATATTAAACAACCACTGATTTTATTATTTTTATTGAGATATGTCACAACACAGCATTCCAAATAATGACATTCAAAAAATAGGTTTTGAAATATTTATCAAACTATCAATATACATTTTAAGAAACCAAACAATGCTTTTGAAATTTTACTGTTTAAACAATGGCATAATTCATAAGCTAAGCAGAAGGGTCAAGCTTTGTAAGATGCCACTTTTAAAATGGTTAGAGGAAAAAAGAAGAAATCTTCATGATTAAAACCTGGTCAGTCTTCCATGCCTGGAAACACCTGTCACATACATTATAGAGAAGCCAACTCACCTCAACAAGAGGATGCCAGTGGGCGACAGGTTTCCGCGGATATGTGAGCATTTCACTCCAGTGTTCTCGACCGAGGCTGTCTGCATCATTGCCAACTCGACAGACACCAATGACCTCATTATGGCCCACACTACAGGCGCAGTAGAAAGAGAGAGAAGAGAGAATATAATCTTAGCTTGCCTTGAATTCTAGGTCAATATAAAGAAAACTTTGACAATGGAAACAAAATTTTCAGACAAGAAATGTTCAGGACTTCAAATAATGTTTACACAACCTTTAAAAGTACCTTAAGTATAGTTTAATATTGTAATTATAATAAAGTGATGACTGATGCAAATATGGTATAGGGTATAACTTAAAGTAACCGAACCGATCATAGTCCATCACTGCTATTAAAAGGCTGATCTGCTCGATGTTTTCTGGAAGGACATCAAACACAATGGCCTCGTTATAGACTGGATTTAAGGTGTTCCTCTTTGTAGATGTCTTCCTCTTCTTCAGTCTCTGACCCTTACACATCAGAGAAACCTTCACATATGGATCTTTATAAAAGACACAGAAATAGGGATTGTGAGCATTTATCTCTTTCTTGGACAACAGGTGGAAATACCCTGGATTAACAATATCAAACTTAATTTACCAGATGCACCAGTTATATCCATGGCCTTAAGATTACGAGCCTGTATCATGGTGATGGTCAATCTGCCTGCTGTAGGCAGGTAGCAGAGGGAGAACATCAAATCCCCAAGGTCAACGTTATCCTAAAAGCAATCAGAAACGTATTACTTTCCACCTAAAGTGAAATCTTCACATTACCTGTTTATGCATACATGCCTAGGCTAAAGAACAGTAACAGTGTATGACTTATTTATAGTGCTTTAACCACATATTTTTAGCCAAAAGACTCATGTCCTAAGCTTGGCTCAGATAACAGCCTCATATACTTCACCCAGAATACTTCTGTTTAGCGATACATCAGATTTCACCTGCACTGAAAATAGCTTCACTAAGAAGTGGCAACCATTAATGCAGACAAAATTTCTGATGAACACTACTCCTGCAATCTATTGCTTCCTTAGTTCTTGATGTATTCCATTTTATATCTTTTCATTCCTCGGCATCATCACATTCATAATTAAATTCCAAACTTACATAATAAAATTTCATCTTTCCATCCATCCATCCATCCATCCATCCATCCATCCATTCATCCATCCATCCATCCATCCATCCATCCATCCATCCATCCATCCATCCATCCATCCATCCATCCATCCATCCATCCATCCATCCATCCATCCATCCATCCATCCATAAATCCATTCATGAATCCATCCATTCATCCTTGTTGAACAAAATAAAAAAAAAAATTTAAATTGAAACCCTTGTAAAATAAATTACTAAATTTAAATTCCTCCAGGGATTAACATTCTATTTTCAAGATTAACTGAATTGATGTTCTGTCCGAGCACTTTTTTTTTGCATACAAATAATTGCTTCATATGGACATATATGCACCGAAGGTATAGTTTCTCTTTCATATCTTCCTGTCAGCATATGCTATTAGGTACCAGTATTTTCCGATGTTTCCTATTTTATTCATTCCTGGATCTTTAACAGATTTGTATTGTTCTTATGGACAAGTGTCCATTTACCAAGATACCAAAACATGGTTTAATAATGGTCTATGACAACTCTTCACTTTAGCTGTATTTTCTAAATATCCAGCACACTGACTGTTTAACTGAGATTTCTATAAAAATCTTCAGGTCATTTTAGACAAGATGCACCTAATATTCCTTCATGACTGACTTTCTAAAGGAATCAGCTTTACATTTTTGGAGTGTGAATCTTTTATAAGAATAACTGAACTGATGGTAAATTGTCAACATTTATTTCTATATTATAAACCTGATTTATTAATAAGGCTGATTTAAATATAAACCGGAACTGTACCTTCAGCCAATATAATCTTTAATTAAATATATTGACATTTGTTCTAAAAACACATCTGAGTACAAATCAAACTGTTTTTGTATTACTGTACCCGAGGTCCCGGGCTACACTAATAAACAATAATATAAATGGGAAAAAACAAAAGCATTAGATACAATTTGTTTGTATTACAAATTAGATACTCAGTAGCAGCAAAATAACATGTTATTCCATCAATATGCAATCTGCTTCTGCTGTGGAGCTAAAACAGCTGAATCTGGCAACAAGACGGACATTATGGTCTTACCTTCTGGCAATGAGACTTAATGAAAATATCATCATTTTTACCAAATCATTTGTGCTGAGGTATTTATTCAATTTCATATCTTTGTACTATATCCTAGGGGCAATATCCAAGAGAAATATGTACTTCTGTGGAAACAAGCATTTATACATGTCTTACAGGCTGTGCTCAAGCAACGCCTACAGCCTTTGAGCTGTTTGCGGTCCGAGGACTGGAAGTGTGAAAGAAACTTTTGAGAATGAAGGATGTGGAAAACTGTGAATCCCTGTATTGCCTATCAAGCTCAATCTTATCGTATACTTGTGAATGATTGTGTAAGCATATATTTATATTTGGGCAATAGGAAAACCACTGCATACAAATTTTTAATGGTGCCATAAATCTTACAGCTTTTTAAGTGTGATATACACAGAAGCCTTCATTGAAATTATGCATTAACATGTCTACATTGCTGTTCATATGTCTTTTGTGCTGCAATTTAGTACATCACCCTTTTCTGCAGTATTGTTGCATAGCAATGACTTTGATATCAGACACAACTGTGAAATTCAGGTTAATACAATTCAAAAAAAGTAAAGATTAAGGAATTTTGTTAGATGTTGGGAAAAAATGTACTCAAAACCCTAATAATACCTACCATCACATATTATCTAAAAAATGGTTATTGTTTTTGACCTGAGTCGCAAACTCCAGTTCACTAAAACTATTCTAAATTAGATCAATTCCTCTTTGCCAAATATTCATAAAATATAATTATGTTAAGAGTCTAGTTCACATGAAGCTGCAGCTTTGCTGTTCATTTGCAAGAGACATTAAACTTTGTGTTGTGGTAAAGTATTTAATCACAGAATGTTGAGCAAATGGTACTAACCCAGGTTTAAATCCTGGTTGTTGCCAGCAGTTTTGACTCTAATGCTGTGTCTTAGTCTGACAAGACAGTTAATTGGTCAGTTCCAAAGGAGGTTAAGGATAAGATAAATTGTATAAAATATTCTCTGCACATAAGACTGATGCTCCTTTATGACAGGGTTTCTTAACCCTGGTCCTCAGAGCCAAATGTCTATGTTTTATATGTGTCCCTACTCAAGCACACCAGATTTGAATGACTACATTTCCATCTTAGCAGCCATCAAATGCTGTAAAAGCCTGTTGATCACTTTCTCTTTAGGTCAGGGTGTGCAGACAGGAACACCTTAAACATGAAGGACAATAGACCCTAAGGACCAGGGTTAGGAAAACCTGTTTTAGGACACAACTCTGTTCAATCTAGGAAGAGAGTCCAGGAATGATAGCTTTCTTGATTTAAGCAAACAAATTTAAGAAGAAGATTGTGCATGATTGCATTTAATTCAAAAACCTAGACACATAAAAAAATCAGGAAATTTCAAAAGCACTGGTAGTGTGTCTGCAGTTAAAATCAATTTATCCAGGTGATGTTTCAACACACAGCAGGAAAGTCAAATTAAGTTTGTTCTCCTCCAACCAGAAGAGAACAAACCATATTTTTCCAGTTGAGAATCATGGTCTTGTATTTGGAGGAGATTATCTTCATGAGCTGATCTCTATCCTGGCCACTGCACAATCTGCTGTGAACTGCTCCAACGCATGCGGTAGGTCTTGGCAGGAGGAAGAATCCAGTACCATATCAATTGTGAAATGTAGAGATACAGACCTCTGGTACCCAAATCAGAGCCCCACTAGTCCTTGGTTGAAGAAACCCTAAAATCTTGTGCAATAAGGTACAGAGAACAATGCAGCTGGATTCCAACATGTAGTGAAAACAGGTCAGACATAATGCCAGCATTGCAGACCAGAGTCCTGCCGCACTTGACAGAGACCAGATTGCCCCAATTATATGGCAACTGACTCCATAGACCTGAAACTGTGCCATGAAGGACACACTTGAATGCCTTTTTCAGGTCTATGGAATATGGCATCAGGATTCTGCGCAAAAGGTTCACATGCCATAAGTACTTGCCTTATACTATACTAGCTTTACTTGATCCAGACACTTGTAAACCATTCCTCGCCCCAAGTACAAATATAGTGACAAAGTGCTCCAATGTGTCACACACAAGGGGTTTTACCTTATCTGTAGGCATGTGGTCTGATTTCCACGCATGTGCATCCTCCCTTCTGAAGTGTGGACCTTATTCTGCTCACTCCTTTCACTATGATGGGGTTATCCAGAAGACAAACCAACCCACCTGCGATTGGCTACTTTTCAGGAAGTCCTACCTCTTGAGGCTGTACTGTTCTTCCTAGTAGCAAAGTCACTTCAATCACACTGTTTTTTTTTTCAAGAGTTGGAAGTTGGAAATCAAAGTCATTATTTGAAAAAAAAACATGGTTCGGATGAATACTGGATTTTGACTGGCTGAAGGGTGTCTGTAAAAATGGGTTATAGGACTACTAAGAAAAAGATTCTGAGAGTTTCTGCTAGCTCAAACGTCAGATGGAAACGGGAAGACAGTGTATGTCGTTACCTTGACAACATGTCACATCTCAAGATGCGGGATTTCCTGAAAAGTCTGCAAGATATGCATCATTTGTTGGTCCCAGACTATCCTCCTTTGTCACAGAATGTCTATTACTAATTTGTTGAGCAGAACAAATTGTATGCAGTTTTGAAAGTAATGGTGGGTAATCTGTACTATATATTCCTTACATGTTCAGGATCTGAGGTGTGTTAACAGCAGAGCATGTGATTTGACCAATTTCTTGATGTCTGTAGAACCAAATAATCTACGAATGACCCTTGGGGATCAAAACCACATCTTATCAAGGGCAATGTTTAAGGTGCGCTACTTGCACTACTTTTAATATAGCCTTGCCAATGAAAATGAAGCAGCAGATAAATGTGATCCTAGAATAGCAAAAAGCTGGAATTTGATTATAGTTATTCACTCTATCAAATAACTGCTTAATATCAGCTTTCAGTGAAATAATCTCCACTCAGGCAAATGTAGATGAGATAGACAAGACTACACTGTGATAAAAAAAAAACTGTTTTATATGCATCTGTGGTGAGTTTGTGAGGCTAGTTGGAGCAGAAGTTATTGAACTATGTCAGGAGACGTAAACTAATATGAGTCATTCCGTATGTCTGGCAGCACTTAACATTAGGAAGGATTATGTTAGAAACATATCTGAAAGCTATAGTTTCTGCATTTTACTTTCTAACATTTCTCTTTTCTGTTGCTCACAAGGACTAGTCAACTCAATTGTACTACAATCAGCTTTCGAAGTTGAATTCAACAGTGCTTCTTCCCCCTATTAAGCCCTTACAAGGCACAATATTTAAAAGGAGTAACATGTCAGCTTCTTCAAAAGAAATTCTTGTTAAAAAAAACTGTTATTTCTCTAAAGTCTCTCATAGTTTTTAGATTTTATTTGTCATTAATATGTATTGTATTAATGTTTTATACCTGCTACATAAATGTTTTTTATGTAACTGAAATCTGAACATTAGTGCTGACTTACCGAGGATACATACTGGATCTCACGGCAGAGTTTTGTCTCCCTGGGAAAATCTGCCAGGTCCAGGAAGTTGTCTACCACCACTTGACCAATGATGTCATGACGTGAAAAGCGGTCGAAGTCGTACACGCTGAAATGAAGCTTACGTGTGGGAAGCTCAGAGTAGGCCACAGGGAACAGGAAGACCTCATCAAACACAGGGTTAAGTGTCTTGCGATGCACCTTTGTCTGGTGTTTGGTCTTCCGATCTGGCAGCAGGTAGATCTTAACATAGGGATCAGAGGAACCAGAGAAATCCTTGGCTGGGAGGTCCTCTGCTTTATGGATTTTAACTATTAATTGTTCCAAATCGCAGTCAAATTTGAGAATAAAGTGGAGGCGACCACAGCCCCCACCTCTGCAACTGGCTTCCTCCCCCTCAAGTGAGCGCTGCTTGTACAGTTCGGGTTTGAGGCGGCCAAGTCCAAGACCCATTCCAGTAAGGGAATCCTGTCTTTGGAACTGTGCCACATTGAAGTCCGGATTAGAGAGGTTCATATGCCTGCGAATGGAACCTTGACTGTGGACAAAACATTTCAGCAAATTAAAGAATGACTATAGAAAGGACTGATTAACAGTAAAAATCATCATCTTTTTTTCTTTTTTAAGATAGAACTATAACAGCAATAACAGTAAAGATAAGAGAAATATAGGCTTCTTAGATGATTTCAAACAAACAATGTATTTGTGATGATGAAAATATAGAAATAACAGAAATTCCATACTGACCCCATTTCAGAGACTGAGCAACCACCAGGTGCTGGCTCTGTAGTCTGCCTTTGCATCCGAGGATTAGTGTGAACTCCATTTTCTCGGGTTTTTCTTTGAGCATCCAATGGTATGTCAGGGGATGTATAGCTTATCTTCATAGCTGCTTCTGGTGTGGCCATCACCACAGGTGGGGGTGACACAGGAGTTAATGGTGCCTCAACTGACACTACAGAGGCAACAGGGGTAGACTCTTTGGCAACAGAACAATGTGATGACTTACGGCGGTTGTGCAATGGCGGGTCTACGGCAGTGTAAACTGGCTGTTTGGGTGCAGGCTGTGAGGGCAGAGGGCTCATGGTGGGGTTTATGTGCCCTTGGACCTCCTTTGTCATGGGTGAAAGCCCTCGTTCCCTCCATGGTATCCAGCAGAGTTTCCAAGAGACGAAGAGGGAGACCCCAAATAGGGCTAAGCCACAGGCAGTAACCACTAGTGATAGTAGACTCACTGATATATCTGAGAGGAACAAAAATGAGAAGAAGTCAAAATGAGGTAAGGATTTCACTTATAATTCATTGAGAGCCGTATAAGCCCTCTGCCACCAGGCACCTCCATGATGTCACTAGTAATGTCATGCTGAAGCTTTGCAAAAGCTAACATGAATTGACAATAGCAGAAAATATTATTAACTCTTAATAAAAATTATCTTCCAAATGCATTATCTAAATGAAGTTTTTTGTTTATAAATTAAAAAATACTATATACGTTAATTACCAGTTATGAATTCCTCAGGAAGAAATTAGCTTTAGTTTGTATGTATACACTATGATTGGGGCGTATTTACCATTAAGCAAAACTAGGCAGTTGCCTAGGGCCCAGAGTTCTTGGGGGCCCCCTAAAACTCTGATTACATGTAAGGTTAATACAGATATTACTTATGTGACATATTAATTATGTTTTTGATCAAAATCCTTTGGTTAGAATGCCTTCAGAACACTTATAATATTAAGTGTTTCTCTGGGATCAGTCCATTTCCTGCGCATGTGCAGAAAGGTCCAAACAGACAACAGCAAACCATTTGAAAACAAACGGTGTGAAGAGCTGTGTCGCCAACTTAACGCTTCTGTGGCTATATTTACCAACTTTTCAGACCCCTCTAGTGCCTTTATTTAAAAAAAAAAAGCACTAGATGTTGGGCAAAACTTGACCCTCTAAAACCTTCCTAATTTGCATAATGAGGAAGAAATGCATACAGAAATGTAAAAACGACAGGCAGAAATAAATCGGATTGAAAAAATAGGGTAAAAAAATACAAAAGAAGAATAAAACAGACAAAAATAGTAAAACATGCACATAAAAAAAATCCTAAAAAAATAAGTAACTGATAAATAAATTTGAAGATTATAACAAACAATAAATAAATAAGGTAATCATTACAAAGGCGAATAAATTAAGACACTTTTTTTTATTTCTGTATTTATTTTTAAATATGGTAGAGCTGGTCCTCCATAGTTTTCATGTTGTAGTTGGAAGTATTTGAGAGAAAACTGATTAAAAATCAAACAGTTAATAACTGCTACAAATATTTTTCATTCTAAAATGCTCTTTTTTTTATTGACACAAAAACAGTTACCAAAGCCTATTGTAAAACCCCTAAAGATCCTCCGAAATCCTGAAGTAACTAATAAATAACAGATTTAAAGATGTATACCTCAAAATGGATATCACCAGAGGTATCAGGTCAAGCAACATGAGGGAACATTATTTTCAGCCAGAAAATAATGTTCTTTTAATTAATTACGGTCATGTGTTTTACTGGGGCTTAATCCAACCAGGAGCCAATGGATATGCTAACCACATTGAAAGCTAACCAGATGCTCACAGATTTCAATAATTCTTTAGACTTATGACAAACTTTATTTTAAATGAGAGAATACAAACCACTGTGATTCAGTTTGATTGCTAAAAATAACTGAAGCGTCCTTTAAAATTAGTTTCTTCATGTCTGCTACTCCTGGTGCCTTGTTTCCAATCTCACAACAAAAGTATTACATTAAGATAATAAACTAGGAGGTCCTTGCTAGTAGGGTTGGGAATTGAAAAGATTTTCACGATTCCGATTCCCTTTTCGATTCTATGAAACGATTCAATTCTTTATCGATTCTTTTTTCGATTCCAATTTGGGGGAAAAAGGAGAACAAACAGTTTGATTATCAGAATCAACTTTGTTTACTTAACTATTGCACAATCTTACAAACTCAACAAGATCAAGATGTCCACAGGAAATGTGAAACTGGAGTAACATCTTTGTTTAAATGAAAAATGAATACAAGAACAAACTTAATAACCAACAATGTCTAATAACAAATTATGGGATAATAACCTATTTTAAATAACAAAAAATACTAATTATAAAACAGTAGTAGGGAAAATTAACAGTTATTTTGCAGAAAGATGAGCATATCTGCTTTTCTGGAAGGATACGGGATCTTTCAGGGCTTACGGTGTCTCCAGCCATGGAGAACACACTCTCAGATGGGGTGGAGGAAGCCTGCACACAGAGGTAGTTTTCAGCCAGTCAGATAGCAAGGGCAGCGTATCTTGCTTGTTCCACCACCACAGTGTGGCGCTATCCCTGCAGGGGATGGAGGGCAAGCTTTTATAGAGCTGGATTTCCTGATCTACCCTCTGGGCTAAGGAAAGACGGGGCTTTGATTCAGAAAGTGACCGCAGCTCGTTGTCTTCCTCCTCGAATTGTTCTTCCAACTTACGTAACTTGCGTAACTTACGTAAAAACGTGACGTAAGTCGTGCTCCCCAGAGCCGGCGCTCTAGGCTCTGTTGCTGCAGGAATCGAAAAAAGAATCGTTCAGCGAGCTGCCAAACGATGCCATGGAATCGGAAAATTCGGAACCGGTTCTTAACAGGAACCGGTTTTCGATTCCCATCCCTACTTGCTAGTCACTTGATGTAGTTTTGCAATGGTTTTGTCCAGGAAATAAACACGCTGTACTTCTTTATCATCTAGCATTGTACAATGTGCCTGCTTAATTGGCACTGGTCCACCACTTTCAAGTATCCCTTGTGAATTTATTGATGTGCTGGCCACCATATGTGCCTGAGCTTCGGATTAAGCTGCTTGAACTTTAAATGGGGCGAGTAATTCCGTTTTCATACTGTCTCTTTTTGTTAACTACTTAAATCTAAACATGCCCGACACATAAGTGTCTTCTCACGCTCTTTAACATTTTTTTTTTCTTCTTATAGCTGCAGTATCTGCCAAATCCACAAAGTGTTATCTATTTTTAAATACCTGGTGACAGTGATGCACACATATTCTGTTTTCTTAACCTGAGTATGTAACATGCCATTAGTTGCTTTTTGTGACAGAGAAACGATAGAGCTTTTTGTAATACATTTGAAAAAAACTGTGGCTATAGTACTAAATAATTATAAAAATATATACAGTATCAGTCAATTATTGTTTAATAATAACATTGTTGTGTAATAGTAGCATTTCTGTATATAAACTTAATAAAAAAAAATAAACAGGACAAATAGTTTTCAAATTTGACTTTTTTTCTTATTCGCAAATTTAAAGAATAATAAACTCAGTACAATTTTTATTTCATTATATTTGTACAGTAGAGTAAACCCTCTAAATTTAATGATTGTCAACCCAATGACAAGGGGAAAGAAAGAAATGTAAAAAAAAAAAAAAATATATATATATATATATATATATATATATATATATATATATATATATATATATACGGTATAGATATATATATATATATAGAATGTAATTTTGTACATTTTGTATCTTTTGTTTCTTGGAGCAACATTGCTTACTGTATTACTAAGTCTGTCTGTAGGCACACTCATAGAAGTTAGCAAAGGAACTAAGACCAACTGTCCTTTCTGTGCTGTGAGATTTTGTGAACACAGAGTAAGTGTGATCATAGAGAAACTGAGGGATCTGCCATCTGAGGACAATGAGCAGAGCTTGGCAAAATGCCAAAGGAAGAGGGATCCACAGACACCTGGATAGACTCAGAGACGCCATGACAATAGAGAAGGTGGATCCAATTTAGTACACAAGACCCTCAGAGGTGCAATAGTGTAGGAGGTTAGCAAGTGGTGAAAAAAGTATTTGTACTTTCTTATTCTGAAATTTCTCAATGCATAATAACCAGTACTACTGTATTTTGCTATTTGCTAATGAAAAGATGGTTTCCAGGTACAGGATTTTTTTTAATTTCAGTGGTTTCCCCTTTGATCCTCTCTGATGCTTGGTTTAAAACCTATAAGACATGCTGGCCAATAGTAAGCTACAAATATAATATAATTATAGAAAGCAGAAGTTTTTTGTACTGCCCTAGAAAAGCAGCAAGTATGTTGCACAACTGTTATCTCCTACTCAGTGTCCCCAGTGCTATACAAGTGTTTTTAATATATGTATATGTTACAAGGTCTGTTTTGGCGTAACAAAGGAGAGAAAGTGAATAAACGTTGTGTATTGGCTTATATTAGGGTACAGGACAAGTGAGCATACTAATCCTGAAATTTTTAAACTGATGAAGCTGAAGAGGAAAAAGCTTTAATAGAAGCATAAGCTAGTTCTTTACACTCATATACAGTACCTATGTCTGACTCAGAATGGCACTGTTTTTAAAGTCTTTTCTGAGAGGTCTGATGCTTAAAGAGATCCTAAGACTGAAATTTCTGTGAACACTCATATAGTTTAGCTTATCTTAAACTTGTCTAACTAATTGTCTTACATATTTGATCAGTGGCTTACAGTGACTAACAGTTATTATTAGCTAAGTAATCAGTATGTCTAAGGCTAATAAAAAAAAAATGAAAGCAACACTCACAAGTTCATTAGGAATAAATGTAAATAAGTGTTCTTTATCCCAGCTATTATTCTGTTATGAGGAATGTACCCTGTTACATGAGAAATGAAGACTATTGTGATATTAACTCATCATCATGTTCACTGTGATCGTTCATGTCTCTACTTTTGACGCTGCTGACAAAATAAAAAACATGATTTGCTTTATGATAAAAAAAAAATCATACAATAGACAAAAAAGAAGCAGCTTTATATAAGGGGAAATTAGTAAACCTAAAAATGACGCCCTAAAAAGCCACACTTTGTGCACTCATTTTTCCCTCCCCCAAACTGACTGTAGAAGAGTGCAGGAATTGTGCCTAGCACGATCTATTGCTCCTTTGCACACGCGCATTCAACCAACCAAGTCAGCCAAGTGAGCTTTCATTGCCTCAAAGCCTTAATAATCTAATATATTCGTTGATATCATTTATTGAAATTCGGCTTTGAGTCTGATATGGTTTACATGAACAAATAAACATGTTCCCTTCCTTCAATCCTGATGCTTTTAGGCTAAAGAAGACTTTCAACTTTTAAATAAGTAAGTCTAGAGTCAGAATCAGATCTGTGAACTACAAAGGGAGCAAAAAGACTACAGAGACATGTTTACTCAACCGATAAAGACCGCATTAATTATATTATCCTATGTAGGAGTACCTACATGAAACCATGTCAGGAATGCACCTTAATTTCCCTTTGGTGAATCTCAATCATCTAAACCACCGCCTTAAATTCCAAGTTGAGTTTAGAATTGAAACAAGTTCTTGTAAGGGACATGAATCAAAATGTATCTGCTATGATTAAGAAACGCTCTAGCGCAAGAGTTCATGACACATTTCACGTTTTACTCGGTAAATGACAAGTCACATTCCCTTCAGATCAACTGCTCCGCCGAAAGAATGCGTGGAAAAGATGCCTCACCTGAATCAGAATATCGTGGCCTGGCGAGGTCTCGGAAATAGTAGATGAAATCCAGACAGTTTTCGTTCTGCACTTCCCCCTTCGAGCAAAGATCTGAAAGGAGTTCGAGTGCTTTTTGACAAATCTCGTCATCTCTGTCTCCAGGCATTTCCCACCAGCATCCTTGTAAATGAACTGTCTCTCGACGGCACCTATCCCTCGCTGGTCAGCACGGTTTCTGGAGTGAACCACTTACATAGAGGCACGTCGTCCACCACAGTTCTTTATGTGAAAGCGTGAAAAAGAAAAATCCAAGTCCAAGTGCTCCTGGGGGAAAGCAACCTCTCCAACATGTGGAGTACAATCAGTTTTTATCTATTTATTTACGCTAAGTGAAACCCTCCTCTCACTGCTGCTCAGCTGGAAGCCACCGGTTGAATCCACGCACCACCTCCGCGACGCCGTGCGTTGTCCAGGGTGCTGAAATGTGTGTGCGTACCGCCGCTGCAATAAAACGTTTCAATCACGGAAACGACGGTGTCTAAAACCTCCTATTTAACCCACGAACCAATCCAAAACAAAGAAAAAGCTCTACTGTGTTTTATTTAATTTTTTTTTTAAAATAGAAGAGGATAAAAAAGCCGCATTTGCGAGATTTACAACCAATGAAAAGCCTCGATCTCTGCTCTTCCTTGTGTGGTTTTACGTTCCTGCACATGGCCAATCAGAAGCCCCTTTTTTCGGTTTGTGAAATCATTTCAGCCTTTTAGGGCAAGACTGCCTCCCACTCAAAAACCATTATTTTTTTTTTTTTTCAATTTGTGTAAAATACCTCCGAAAATCGTCATTGACAGCATTTTTCATTACAAAGAAAGTTAGGATTTTCATTGATGCTTTCAAGATACTGTCTCTGATAGAGCCACACAATGCATTTAAAAGCAGGGGCTTAATTTATCTCAATTTATCTTCTTGTTTATAGTAGTATGGTAATAGTATTTAACAAATTCAAACAAAGGTTTTAAAAGGTAATTACTCACTGCAATCTAGTGTGATTATCGTATCATGACTTAACTATTTCTTTTTCACAATATCCTTGTGTTTGCCTCTGTTTCTATAACAGGTTCGTGTTTTTTCATTAGTTCCTTCGTGGTTTATTTTGTTTCTTCAGTTATTTTGGTGTCAATTAGTGAGTTCCTAATGTGCTATTTTCTTTCTGATCTAATCATTTTCCTCATGTTTTACTATGCCTCTATATCTGCATTTGAGCATTGCTCCTTCAAACTTACCATGATATTGTTGTTATATCTTTTAAAATTTGTAGATATGAAAGAGAGGTGGATTTTTTGTAATTTATGTGCATTTTCACCTATGATTAGCAGTCTTTTTTTGTTGTGATTTTACAAGACTAAAAAGTATAAGATAATTTATGCTTAGAATAGAAAAAGAAGATAATTAGTCTTGCACTGTCTGTGATTTTTGTGTTCCTTCCACCAGAAACAGAAAACCCAGTAGTCATATTCCATCACACATAAATACAACCCATAATGAGCTGTGAATTTATTCAGCTGCACTTTCATGGTTCTTTTTTTTGCGGTGTTGGTGTTGAGCTTTTGTCAAATGATTGGAGACTCTTATAAACAATTGTGAACTAAAAATACCTGAATGCAACCTACAATTAATATGTAATTTATGGTATTTGTACTTGAATCTGATGCAAAGTTCATGTAAATCAAATCATCATGAATGCATTTTAAGCTTTAACGATCCACAACCAATCCAGCTAATAGAATACAAAAATAGGCAACACACTATTTCATATGGTTGCTAAACTGATGCCTTGGGCATCATATCTTGCAGTTTGCCAGTCAAGCAATAATTGCAGGGCTACTTTTCTGTCACCGTCTTCGTAAGAATACAGCCACGAAATAAGTTGACATGGTATTAACTTCATAATGTAATAAACAGGGATTACTGTTTGAAAGCCTGTTTCCACTTCCAAATAAGAGTTAAATTAACTTAGAAATCTTGTGTCAAGCAAATGACAATGACATTTCTTTGGCTTGTGATTAAATATGACAATTAAAGACACTATTTGGTATTTAGTGAGGCAGATTTTACTTTAATAAGAAGGCTTAATATAATATAGAAGGCTATATTAAAGAACATCTCAAAGAGTGAGATGCTTGATTAGTAATATATACATCTGAATCCATGTCCTAAATACTAGGGGGTTGAAAAATTCTATTTTTACTACATTTTCTAGGTTTACAAGTAAATGCAAAAGTAAATTAACAAACAGGGTCTTTTTAAGATCTTGATTATTATTGATTTTTATTTTTGTGTGTGCAAAAATCAGTTCCTTCATTAAAATATTTGAAAACTCTGGGGTTCAGTTGTCAAAGAAAAATGTTTAAAGGTTTCTAAAAGCCTTTTATTTCTTCAGAAATTAAGCTTTAATACTAATAAGATAGTGTATGTATATATTTATATAAACCTGACTTTGCCTCTGATCCCTTCTTGTAATAAGTTCCCAGATGGAGTCTTGGTACTTGATCACAGCAAAGTATGTTTTTGCACTGTTGTTTAAGTTAAAATCTCTCTACTTGGGGAGTTGGTTGTATGAGCTTTTGTGTGGAGTGGTTAATGGGTCCTATGTCTTGTTCAATGTGTGGGTTTTCCATTCAAAGAAAATTGCTAGCAATGCGCAAAGTCAGCCTACTTGGTGTCCATGGCAACTAAAGCAAGACATTCTTCATCCAAGCTGTGCTCTCCAAGCCTTTTTGCTTGCCTTCCTAAATATTATATTATATATTATGTTTTGTACTTCTCTTATACTTCTCTCTGCACCGTAATTACTCTCATTTTCTTCCTTTCAGTCTTTGTCATTATCGACTCCTTTATTTCTTGGAAGACTGCGCCTTGTTTCTACCAATTCTCTCCCCATTCAGTACTTTAAATTAATGGTGCATTTTTTAAGATTATTAGCTACCATCATCTGCAAATGTTCACAGGAAGACAGTAGCCCATGAATGTTGGACCTGCTAACAATTACCTGCTATAACGATCTAGGTCTCAGAACAGTAAAGCTGATAGCTTCATTGTTTCAGTGAGGAACCACAGAAAATCTCAACTCAGGGTTAATAGCTGTCAGAACTGATATCATAAGCCCATTTTGTGCATGACAGCCACCCATTCACTCAGACAAACACTGCATTCTGCCTGTTTTTATGATGATGCAGTGATTTCTCAGCCTAAGTTTAGAAAATGCCTGCTTTCTGCCATATGAAGCATGTTTTATATGTTGTCTTTTTAATCTTTTATCGGTATACAGGTAATCTTCTGGTACTGTTAGTAATTTCGACTGTGCCTTTCTGACTGAGGTATAAGTGTTTGTTTTCTGAGTCATTGTTTATTTCTCAATTACCTGTACAGTACTTTCTTTTTGTCCCACCATCCCAAATCTTTGTTGAGATCTGTGGCACTGAATTTAAAATTTGATCGAGTTTAACTCATCCTGAGTAAGCTTGTGGCAAGGGTGGACAATACATGAGACTGACAAGACCCCATTCAATTCTCACCCAGTTAAATATTTTCAAGCTTCTTTAACTTTTATAATTTGTTGTAACTACATACAAGTTGTGTTATATATCAAAAGATGCACAATAACTCTGGATATGGCTTATCTTCCTTCATTTCTAGATTTTAACATTAACAGAGGTTTTACCTGTTTCTATATTACGCCTGTTTTGGTAAGGCCATGCTATAGGGGGAAATGCTAAGCAAACTTTAAGATGTGGAATACTAAGTAGCTGGGAGAGTGAAGCAGAAACCACATGTGGCTAGAGAAGACTCAATGAGATTGATAACAAGCTATTCACCACAAAATCTGTTATCTTGTGCCCAAGGCTCTCATCTTGCTTTGCATCAAACAATGTGCATATCTCAGAGAATCCTTTCAAAGAAGGGCAATCGAATGGGATCCTCTCATCTCAATTTCTCTTTTAGATTCACTCTTCTGTGTAGCTAAAAGAGAGTCCTTGAACATTTAAGGAGAAAAGAAATATGCAATTACATAAAACCCAAAGCCAACTTAAGGTGTTGGCAGAAGTTCTGTCAAGAATGTGTAACAGATAGAAAGATACCTGAGGTGCATATTCTTTACTGTAATGAGATGTTGGATATACATTGAGGGGAAGGAAAGCATTTGTAAATGTATTCAAATTGCTACATATAATGTAACATATAATTCTGAGCACGGATCATGGAAACCCAAAGTATTGCAGAAAACAAAGAGATAGTAAAAAATACACCATGAATAAAGTTATGTTTAGGACAGTTGAATGACAGTGTAATATTGAACAAATTTTGTGAAAAAGTTCACAAAAATCCGCAATACAACCTTTGTTGTAATGTCAACTTCAAGATATTGCCTTAACTGAAAACGGACTTGCATCAGTTTCTCAGATGTGGTTTTGACTAATTCTTGCTCACTGTCTTATAACTTAAATAAATGCGATTGATCTTAAGCTTTTTTCATAAATATATAAATAAATTATTTAGCTCTACATCTGACTGGGCATTTTTAACAGCTATTTTTTTCTTTCTCTGCAGAAGCTTCTGGTCTGTTTACTTCTCTGCTCTGCTCTTGATTTTATTGTCCAGATGAATCACACCTGTTATACCTGCGTCTTCGTGCCTTTCTTTGACAGATTGTCTACACCTTGTTTGTACAGTATAAGGATTACTCAGTGTCATTCTGCATTGCCACCCTTCTTCTTATCCTGTGCTCATCTTGTCCTTACTGGTTCTTCTCTAAAGTCAATGTTAAACTTGTGACTGAGTGTCTTTACTCAGCCCGCTCTTACTGGACTCTCATTGGTTTCTCACTCTGGACTACTCTGGCTGCCCCTACTTTGTTCAACCTGCCTCCTGTCTGCAAAAACCAAGCTTTAAGCCTGTCACCAGTTGGATGTAACTTAATCCGTCTCCTCAAGCCTAACATCTCTATGTTCTGGCTGTTACCAAGCTGTTTTGGCCATCACCTGTCTGCTTTACCAGTCTAGCTGGTTTTACTAATACATGTAATAGTAATCGTAATTTCATGTATCATCATCAGAAACTGACAATAAATGTTTTACGCACACAGTCTGGGTGAAGGCAGAAGTTTTTCTAATCACACTTTTTGACCCATAATGAGAAACTCTGTGTGTGATACCTCAGTAATAGGAAAAATCTTTTTGGGCTGTCTGGATTGTTTTCTGCTTTCATTCATTTTCCCCTTATTGTGCCTTTCTGCTCCTACAGTTTAGCC